GCAGGGTAACACGAGGTTATAGGGGCTGAATTTCAACCCCTGCGAAGGTCACGTTTCCTCGGATCTACCCTAGTAAATGTGTAACATTATAATATAGTCATCATCAGACCGGATTTGCGTGTATGAACCCTATCCACCTTTTTCCCTCTACGAATATATACGTTCGTGCGACAGATGTTGGGTTGTTTCTCAAATGATCTATACCATTTGCCCATTCGATCGGCCTTCTTTTAAAATTGAATAAACTTTGACCTTTTTTTTTTTTAATGCAACGAATTAATTCACTTAATCCATTTTAAAGTGCTTATAAATTCGTGAAAATCATTAAAACCGTATAAGCTTTAAAGTACTTTCTTTTTCTTTTGTTCTACTTTTAACTACCCTTTCATATATGAAAAATAAAGAACGCGAGTAAAACATGATATTCGTGTAATCGATAAGTCTCAGAGAACACAAAGTAAAAATAGAAAGAGAGAGAGAGAGAGAGAGAGAGAGAGAAAGAGAGAGAGAGAGAGAGAGAAAGAGAGAGAGTGAGTGGGAAACAAAGAGAAAGAGGGGCAAAGAGACAGTGGTAGTGCGCAACTCGAGTCGAAACAACCCCAGAGAGAAACTCAAATGGGGTTAGTTTGCTCCAAGCTAGTATGTTCTCCTGGCAGGGTGGCGCGCATCGGCGACGCTTCATCCCTCGAAAGGAGTCCGTAGAAGAGGGTTGCACGCGTCTTTCTCATATGATCATCTCCAGCTACGACTCGATCCTTCGAAGCTTTCTCATCAGAGTTGCTTTCGACTCCTCGTGAATCGAGTACTTAAGCAAGTTGCCATCTCATCGAGAACAGGATTCTATGGGATACGAGTTGGTAACATCACCCAACCCTCTACCCTCCCCCTCCCTATTTTACCACCCACCAAACCACCCTCCGTTCGAATCCATAAAAACGAACGGAAGGGTGATCGAGAGAGGACTTACGTTTCTTTTTTATCGGTCGCGAAGCAACGCTTGCGCGCGAGCATTATTGGCAAAAGGGGATGAAAAAGAGAGAGAGAGAGAGAGGGAGCGAGTAGATGTTATATTTTCTCTCTATTTTTTTTCTATTTGCAACGTTCGAACGTACATTCATTGTGCTGGCATCGATCTCTCTCGAAAGTTATTTTAATATATATTTATATATATATAAATATATACATTCATACATATATATGTATATATATATATATTAATTCATTCTGTATATATGCATATATACAAGATGAATTTTTTTCAATTGAAGATAGCAAGAAGTAGCAAAAGATATCTGAAGATACCCAAAAGATAACTGGAGGAGCTCGAAGATACCCAAAGAAGTCAAACAAAATCTCATACAAAATCCTCCAAAAAAAAAACCGCTTACCAATCCCCAGACAAAATCCTAAACTAAATCCCGAACAAAACCTCAGTTTAAATCCCAAATAAAATCACAGATAACGTAGTAGCAACTGCAGGAAGAACCTAGACTCAATTTGACCGATTCAAACCGATCCGTGACGGACCGAACACTGTCAAGCCGAGGTTAGCCGATCAGAACTTAACCAAACCGATCCGAATGAGCTGAGTCAAGCTTAATCAAATCCAATACTTGCTGATTCTTTTCTCCTTGCAAATCCAATCTTATACAGACTTATTCGATCCTACTCGATCTTATTAGATTCTATTCGATCCTATTTATTCTATTTAATCTTATACGATCCAATTGGATCCTGTTTAATCCAATTCGATCCTATTCGCTTCTTCTTGATTTTATTTGTTTCTATATGGTCCTTTAATATCTATTTTTCACAATTCTATTCGATTCTATTGGAATTTGAATAATATGAAAGATAGAGTACATATCACATCTTATTTCGTATATCGTATATATCGTGGCTTACTGTTTTACGTATTTTCCTCATACATACATACACAACACAACCTTATCTTTCATCAGTTGCTAATTTCAGAAACGAAATATAGACGGGATGAAATACGAATCATTCCTGAAGCTTATACATTGTAATATAAACAAAATAATAAATTTTATATATATATACACACATAGATATGTATAAATATATATATACTTATGTATGTAATAATAAGTTTAAAATACATATTTTTTCGTTGAGATTATTATTGAAATCTATTACTGGAGTCTATTAACATATCTTCTTATGTTAATTATGGAATATGATAGTAATAATATAAAATGGTATATGCAATTGAATTTGAATAAGTTACTATGTTTCTTTTATAAAGGGACAAAATCTACCCTGACCCACAACCCTCTCCAGTAACCCTCTAGTCAATTCTACTATCCGGATGTTTTGGTTTACTTGCCAGCATCTATTCACCCAACCGCATTCGCTCGCTCTTTCAAACCCTCGAATCGACAAACTCTATGTATATATATATATATATATATATACATATGTATCTCATTTCTTTCATTAATATAATAGAGTTTAATAGAATAATACTTTGTACAAAGGTAAATAAAAAAAATTATTTTATTCCTCCGTTGATTATCTAAAATGTTATATTAATTCTAATCCGAAAGGTGACCGGATAACATGAATAAAAACAAATAGAAATATCAATGAAAGAGAAACATAAATTAGATATAAAACAAAAGGAAATTTTACAAAGATTACTTCTGATAACTTCAACCACCATAAAAGATATCATTAAAATCATCCCTTAAAATATTATACATAATTGAGTTTATAATCTCCTGTTAGAAAAAGCCTCGAGCTATTCTAAATCAAAGACAACCCTATGATCGTCTAATATAATTCCCTGATATTTAAGTAAAGATCTGACTCACCCCCGAAATTTGTATAACTCTTGTGTAACTTCCTCGTACTTATAACAGCCTGTTAAAACATTCCGCGTTTTGGCCTCTGAAGACGAGACTCATAAATTTGACGGACCGAACGGGTCTCCTTCGACAGCTACCAATTTTCAGTCAATCGATATATATATATATATATATATATATATATATATATATACATATTCGAATCAGAGTGAATGTATCTCGATGCTGAATGAAGGAGAAATAGTAAAGAGAGGAAGAGAGAGAGAGTGAATTTATTGGTCCAGAAGATTGCTGAGAGACTTGAACTTCTTGGTCGTTCATGTTACCCTAGTAACAAGATACTGAAAATCATCTCGTGACCTGTACTAACTGTTATGAGAAGACAAAGACATGACACGACATCTTCTATATCCTAATGACCTGTATTTCGAACTGATTTTGTTTCTTTCCTTTTTCTTTCTCGCTTTCATATATATATACACCATTTCATATATATATACCATATTCTGTATCAAGCTATAACGAAGAATATAATTAATTAATATTATCCGTATTGTCAGATTGAGATTTATTTAATGAACGTCGTCATTACGAAAAAATAATTATACTAACCAACCGATTATGTGGAAAGTTTAAATAAGCTTATTGTTAGTTTAACGTGATTAGAAATTAGTATTCACTTTTGCAATTAGATAAATACTTTGAATTTCAAGTGATAGATAACGAAAATCTGATTAAATTAATCAAATTGAAAATGCTGATAAATAAGAAAGAAACCTACTGATCTGTTATACTATCTCACTCAATAGATTCTGAACATCATCTCAAGTCGTGACCCACTCCTATGACAATTTGATCATCTCTCTCTCTCTCTCTCTCTCTCTCTCTCTCTCTATCTATCTCTCCCTCTATTTCTCTTTTTCTTGAACAAATGTTAAATGATTTCAAATTCTATCATATGATATTTCTTCCTATCTTTCCTTCCAAATAAATATGAAATTATCTAACATTTACAAACATTATTATCATAAGTATCTCAAAATTATTCAAATATCGTTATATATACTTAAAACAAAAAATTAAAAAAAAAAAAGAAAAAAGAATAAATAATAGAAAAAAAATACTATATCGGATAAAAACGTAATAATACTATCAAAGTTCTCGCGTATAAACATAAATAATCTGTTACTTCTTTTTTTCGTTAATCGATTAAAAGTTATCTAATTAAATAGATACGTTCTTATTCATAATTAAAGATTCGCACTTTCAGTAAATCTATATATGTATGTATACGTATGTATTTACATGGTAACCAATGTTTCTGCGACCTACTCGCTCTCATAGCAGTCTGATCAATCGGAAGCACAAAAGTGAGTGGTGAACAAATGGTAAGACCGATAACGTAATAGCAACAAAGAACGAATTTCACTTACACTTTCATTATGATTCTATCTTTCCGAATTTCTTTCTCTTTTTAGCACTCCCATTCTCTTCCTCTTTCTATCCTATTCATTTTTCTTTCTCTTTCTATCTCATTCACTTTTCTTTCTCTTTCTATCTCATTCATTTTTCTTTCTCTTTCTATCTTTCACAATTTTTTCTTTTTCTATCTTACAAATTTTTCTCTCTCTTTCCATCTTATTGAATTTTTTCTTTCTTTATTCATTTTATGTAAATTATTGATCTCTTATTCAAATTATATTAAATCAATTAATTAATCAAAATTACGAATAAATGCGAAATTTCAACGGGAATGATTAAAATCACCGATGGGATACTGCGAACATACGATGACTATAATGATTGTTGATAATGAAAGGGTTAAATATGGGTGGTACCGTAGACGACCTTGTAAAATCCCCTATGTAGAACACATCGGAATTCCTTTTGTAAATCCTAGTATCACAGCGATCTAACAATCGATTGTTGCAACAAACAGAAATTACATTTATTACAGAGCTTTAACAACTGCAGAAATAGTACACGACGACCATAAATAATATAGTCGCCGTTTAAAGAATATCTTCTCGATCGTTGTTTCGACTAATTCAAAGGTTATAAATCATTTCAAAGATCTTATCATCGCAAATTGTTTCACAATTTTTGCATCGGTCAATTAAATTATATCGATGTAAATAGCATGAGAAAGAAAGAAAGGTAACAATATAGTTGATTACAATGGATGCCATTATCGGATGCACAAAAATTTTATTCTCAATCAAAAATTTATCTTCTCGTCTCTCTTATGGATTATTATTCCATATTCATTTCTTTCGAAAAATTATCGAAAGAAATCAATTCTTTGCGTATATATTGTACTTAATGGCTACGTTGTGCAATAAAAGAAATATTATTATACATAAATGAATTTTTAAAATAACAAATGCATATCGATATTTTTAGGATATCCATATGTATACATTATGATTATGCATTGAGAGCATTTTTATATAATTCTACCCAGAATGGTATTCTTTCTCCTAATAAATGTATGTCCATCTTCAAATCTTGATTGATAAGAATATATTTACATTCTTCTTTATTTTTTGGCTCCCACTCTATGGTAATGTCCTCGTCTAGTTTAGAAGTTGGATTTCTGAAAAATAGAAAAAGTTATTAGTTTATTAGAAAGTTAATATTTCATATTAATTAATTAATTACTTACCCATCTTTCGCAAAGTTTGTCCACAATTTAGTGATAATCCGTGTCATTTTCTCCTCGGGTGAGCCAGGATTAGGTAAATTTTTGAACATGTTCGAATAAAATTCGTAATCTAATTCATCCCCATGAGGTATGCCTAAAAATTTACATACATTATTTGATATGATGTGTTTTACTTTGAAATAATTAAAAAAAAATTCACAACTTGTTTTATTATTGCATACCCCTCTCAGTTTTTATATTTTTCATGATACCGAATGGATTTTCATATTCGAATATATATTGATAAACTGGTGCTGTGTTTTTACGAGTAATAAAATCTAAAGTGAATGTAGCTCCAGCGGTAAAGTAAGCATCGGTCAACATCTAAAACGCAAAAAGTATTATCAGCTAATTTTCACTTTTAAAAAGGTTCAAATTCAATATGTAATTACATGCGATAATTCTTTTTCGGTATCCTTGGATATATCTTTGCCATGAAGATAGAATTCCTTCATAAAGTCAGCTAATTGTTTTCTTTGAACAGGATCGGTTACATTTAGATCATCAGGTAGGAAATTTTCGAAATGTTCGTTGATATATTCAGCATTCGGTAACATCACTAAATACAAAATCAAATATCAATAAAATTCATTTTGTCATAAATCTTTTATCATAGATTTACAATGTATTAATGGAGATAAAATTCATTATATACATACTTTCTGCAAAGAAATCAGCATCCCTTATCGTAACACCTCCAATAATTGGTACATTAGCAATTTTGCCAGTTTTCAATAGAGTCCAGGGATCATTTGTTAAGAACACATCCTGACCAAAATCATTTTCAACTGATGGTACAAAAACGTCTAAATGTCCATTCATCGTATTCTATGACATGGAAAAATACACGAATTAAAATTACAGATTAAAAGATTATGCGTCTAGTCTATTTCCGGTCACGATCACGATAAAACAGATTTCAAATAAATATAATAATAGATATTTTTGTAGAAATTTTAATTAACAATAAGATAATTACAATATCGTTCATTATCTCTCTGGTCGCCGTAATTATGTCTCTTGCCGAAAATTCAGCGAGTTTGTTGACCAATTCACCAGTATCTTGGGTACGAATTCCAAGTGTCTCACCCAATTTGAAAGCCATTTCTTTGGGTTTATATTCTATTGCCCATGGATTCAGTATCGATCCACTTTGTGAAATGACGCTGTTGAACAATCCTGAACATAAAGAAATTTTATTGGCGTTTTATCTTTCGATTATGATATTAGAACGTTACCTTCTGACATCGGTGAAAACATGTGGTATTGACCAGAGGAACCACCTGAGCTGTGACCAAATATGGTAACTCTGTCTGGAGATCCTCCAAAGTAATGAATGTTATCTTTAATCCACATAAGTGCCATTACTTGATCTTTCATACCAGCATTTCCAGGAGCATGTTCATCACCAGTGTTCAAGTAACCTAATGATTAAAAAACCTACCTTATCTGTTTTTTCATCGTTATGAAATATATTTACCAATAGCACCAAGTCTGAAGTTGAAAGTAACAATGACGACATCTTGTTCAATGAGAAAATCTGGCCCAAAAATATCGTTTCCAAATCCTATATTCCAGTTGCCACCAGGAATCCATACCATTACAGCTTTATGAGCATCCTTGTTCATTTCTGGAGTATGGACGCTAAGATAGAGACAGTCCTCGTCACCTACAATCTTTTGTTGCATCATGCAAAAGACTGGACAGAACGAACGATGCTTGGTAGCATCATAGACACCTTCCCAAGGATCAGCAGGCTCCGGCGTCTTTAACATACAAATACCAACAAATTGATTTCAATGTTCAAAGCTTCATCGATGATTCTTCTACCTTATTTTTTTCTTTTTTTCATTACCCTAAACTTGTCGACTCCAACATTAGGCTTTGCATAAGGTATTCCTTTGAAACTGTAATATGGCATATTGTGCCATGCTGTATTCAATTTTAGACCCTTCAATGGACCCTGAGGAATTTCCACTTGAATCTCTTCCTCAGCAATAACCCAGACAAACGCCACTAAAGCAGATAGCACCACCTTGATCAGCCACATGTTGACTGTCTGAGATAATCCTGCCTGTGGGCTGGATGTTTATAGCTTCTGTCTGGCATCAGTAACCATTTACAAAAAAAAAAAAAAAGAATAGAAAAAAAAAGAAAATGAACAAATTAACCATACTACATGACAATCAGAAGCGTGCATCGGCCGCGTAATAACACGCTACGCGTTTTATCTAACCGAGGAACAATATTGAGTCAAAAGTTTTTTTTTTTTCATAAACTCTCTCGTGATCTATCTGAATTACGATGTGAATTGTTAGAATAAATTACGAGCGTTGGATTTCCTGATTTATCATTCCGGGTATACATCTTCCTGAATAATTCGTTTGTAAATTCGATTCTTCCGGCTTTTTTAACTCAATTTTCGTTTCTCTCTCTCTCTCTCTCTCTCTCTCTCTCTTTCTCTCTCTCTCTCTATCTCTTCTTCTTTTTCGAGAAGTAGAAAAAGAAGAAAAAAAGAACTTCCAAAATTAAAAAATTCTCTCTTATGTTCGAATTCTCAAAAGTTGATAATTTTTTTATGAAAAAATTCTTTCCCTATTACGATCTGATAGATTTAACAAAAACAATGCGTAGAAAGATATGATTTAGGATAACGATGAGGATTATACGGACGATCAACAGAGCGTACATAAAAAACAAGTCACGTAACAAATTAGAGACGCATTGCATACTATTTTGAGAACAATCATATCGTATCGCACAAAGGCATAAGAAAAATTCCATAATAGGATTACATAGATATATACGTCGATAGATTTGAATCATTATTCTTGTTTAATTTTCTTTCATATTTTTTTTTTTTTAACCACGAAATCAAAAACGATTTAGGAAAATGTTGTCGAAGTTCTTTTCATGACTGAGGCACACACATACACGCACAGACACACACACAGACTCTAATGGAAAACTTCGTAAATGTAATCCTAAAGAATGACTCGATTATTTTTTCTCATGATTTGCATTGTTCTTTTGTTTATACTCTTTTTTCTTTATTTTCTTTTTTTTTTTTTTTTAAAGAGTCATCTCCGATCTTATTTTCGTAGAAAAGATTAATGTCATTGATACTCCATAAAGATGATCTATGAATTATTAGTATATATATATATGTATATGAATATGTATATGAATCCTAGATTGAAAATCATTAAACAAATTTTCTGATGATGAGAGCATAAATTTTCTGATGATGAGAGAATACACGAATGGTATTGAGAAATGAAAAACATCTGCGAAAATTTTCAAATTTTCCTTAATTACTTCACATTTGATATTTACTTAATTGTCATTTTTATTATTACTGCAATTAATTGAATCAATACTTTATTTTATATTCCGATTTGTTCGATATCGAAATTTATGTAAAAATCATAATCTATGAAAAATAATATTCTCGAAATATAATAATATTAAAAATAATATATTTAATATGCGATAATATAATTTATATTAAATATACATATGCAAATATTAAGCACATAAGATATTCTTTTAAAACTACATTCAACCTGGGGGCGTAGCTCAGATGGTAGAGCGCTCGCTTAGCATGCGAGAGGTACCGGGATCGATACCCGGCGCCTCCAAATTTTGCGAACTTAGGACTTCTTTTGTCTTTTTTTTATTTTTTTTACTTCAATGTAGATAATTAAAAAATAATTTGAATAAAGTTTTGATAATACAAAATTTATATTCTTATAGGTTTGACAAAGTTACAAAGGAGCCCAGAATTCTTATTTTATAATTACAATGGCGCCAAAAGATCTTATTGTCCTCTGAGTGAACATATCGGTAATCAACCTGTTAACAGAAAGGATACATCTTTAAGATTAAGACAATTAAGATCTGAAATGGTCCGAGTTGCATCGATCGAAACAGCACCACTGCATGGTTATATTGTAACGTCGGACGACGAACATCAGGTAATATTTTACTTAATATATAAATTAAACATAAAATAAAATACAGAGTCGACCAAAAGTCTCCAAATGGACTAAAAACATCCAAATGATTTTAAAAATCAGTTATCTGTTTTCGAGACTTTTTGAGTTAATTTCTTTTTTTTTTTCAAATTGTAAAACTATAAGCCTAATTACAAGCTTAGTAAATCTTAAATAACAATAATTAATTTTTAATATTATCTAAGAACTGTTGGTATATCCTGTATATGTACATATTAATTATAAAATTGAGATCGTATTGATTGAAAAAAATGTAATAAATTTTCAAACGCTTTTATTTAATTAACGAATAAACTTTCAGACACGAATTTACATTATTGATGGCCACAGTGGCCTATTGAAGGTATCGCAATTGTCAAATTTATTTGATGATTGACATATTTTAAAGCTTCATTTAATTTCTACTTAACTTCATTTTATTTCCGGATAGTTATAAATTTTTCAATATACTTTCATCAATATTTTTTTTTATTAAAGAATTGAAAAATCTAAATGCATTTTTTAATTTGAAAAATATTATAACTTTACGATATTAATAAAAGGCGAATATAAAAAATGTAGAAAGATAAATATCGAATGTATTGGTCTAATCTTACTAAACTGACATAAATTATATTAAATATTAATTCTTATATATTTTAAATGATAGAATATTGTCGTTTCATATTTTTTGTCCATATTTTTTAATAGAGCGAAACCGTCGATCCACGAGATATGAGAAGAGAATTTTTAACCGGATTTTATGGTAGCGCCGGAGACGCAGTTGTAACATTAGCAAAAGCTGTTCTGTGGACAGATGGAAGATATCATCTGCAAGCAGATTTAGAACTTGATTGCAATTGGATACTCATGAAAAGGGGACGAAAACCCGTAAGTAAATCTTATTTATACCTTATAAATATCAAATTATGATTTATTATGATTTTATTCACATAAATATTACGTATATGCAATTTTTATATATTTATATATATATATATATATATATATATATATACATATATATATACATATATATATATCTTCGTTACTGTTTCTATTTTAGTCATTTTTACACAAGCTTATGTACGCATACGTCTTACGCATACAAATGTAGGCAGAATTAATTCGTAGATCGAACACTAGATGGCAAATCGTTTCTCAGTGGTAAAGCGGTACCTCATCATCTAGATATGAGGCTTTAGCAGAAAGGAAAATTAAGATCATACTTCACAGGATCATTTCTGTAGTATATCTTCGGATCTGCTCTGCGAAAAGCTGAGCTGATGCAGCCACGAAGATGAGATATAGCTCTCTTCCTTGAGCGTGAGAAAGACTTACAATCTAACTATTTAGTTCGGTTGTAGTCATCGATGATCGTTCACTCTTCTTACTCAGTAGGAAGGGCCATGGGAAGTAGAGCTTTCTGAGTGGTCTTTTTATATTAATAAGAAAAACATAAATAAGAATTTCTAGTAATTTTTTAGAAGGTAAGAAGTTTTACATTCTTAGTTTTTGTTTAATTGAAGAAATTTAACTCTTTTTATTTTTTCTAATAATGAATGAAGTTGAAGAAAAATATTTTTCTATAATGAAGAGTTTAAAATAAACAAAATATTTTATACTTGTATATTCTTCCATAATATTAACGTAAAATTTATTTTTATCTATAAAAGAGGTTAAATATATTTATTTATAATATCCTGTCAATGAAAACGTTGTTTTATATCTTATTTTTAAAGGGCTTTTTTTTATTTTAAATACATAATTAACATACCGATTTACTATATTTATTTTGATTACATTTATTTTGTACTATATATTAAATATTAAACTCTTCAATGGCTAAATACTCTCGGCGCTCGAATACTTTTTTCGCTGTGTTAATTCTGTCGATTGAGTACGCAAGGTGCAACAGCTATACTTTATTTAATACAAAACAATTCATTATTTTATTCAAAACATTAAAATTATCTCAAACGCAAAAAAGAAAAGGTTGGAAAAATTGATAAACGCATATATGCGTCTATGGTAGTCTACAGCGATCGCTTTCGCTAAATGTACTTAAAGGTCCATAACACATAAAGGATTAATTACATATGCACATAGAGACAGTCTTAAAAACATATACAAATAATTTCAAATATATATTATCGATCAATAATAAGCTGTTATAAATATATATGTATATATATGGATAAGTATTGTCACTCGTGTCTACTAATATAAATTATCAGCACAAATGGAGTTTAATCATAGCATTTTTTAATTACACATGTTTGTTGAAACTAGATATAGTATATAAAGAATAGTATTATATAGAATATTAATAATTATATTTAAAGTTAAATAAGTATTTTATAATGTAAAATATTTGGAAGATTTGCAGTTTTCATTTTTTTATTTAACATTTAAAAATATATTTCACTTCAAGAATGAAATTTATACATGCAAAAGAAAAAAAAAATGTATTGTGTTTTGTTCATCCACAAAGATACTTGCAAAAAACAAAATTTTTTACAAGATCAGATATAATTAAAATAACAGGAAAAAATTTAATCGAAACATAAAAAAAAGGAATAAAAATATATTGTAAAAATATCAAACTTCGAAATCTCTCTATGTTAATAATTTTAAACTTTGAAATACATTTTTCGAAGCATATAAGATAGTTGTCATTTAGTTTATTCGGACACTAGATGGCTAATACCAAAAACCTTTTCTCAGAAGTAAAGGGGTACTTCATCGTCTAGACATGAGGCTTTAGTAAAGAAGAAAATTAAGATCATACTTCACAGGATCATTTCTGTAGTATATCTTCGGATCTGCTCTGCGAAACGCTGAGTTGATGCAATCATGATGAGGAGATATAGCCCTCTTCCTTGAGCGTGAGGACGACTTACAATTTGATATTTTTAATCAAGATTCGTAGTCATCGATGATCGTTCGCTCTTCTTATTCAATAGGGAGAGTTATGGGAAGTAGGGCTTTCTGAGTGGTTACTTTCTAATAAACAGAAAACGAAAAAAGGATTATTAAAGAATTATAAATTTGAGGTGAGATTTTAGAGGCCATGTCACAAATAGTTGAACTTCGAACAAGTTTTTCGAAACGTGTTCGAAGTAGTTGTGTCCATTTGTTTTTATTCGTATATTAATCTTGACTGCTCTCGCAAAACACTCAGACACCAAGCTGCTAAAGCAGTTAAGATTATAATAATTACCAATGATCGTGTTTAACTCCTTTCACTCAGGAGGAAGAATATTGAAAGTAGATCTTCCTAAAGTGTAGTCCTTTCGTAAATAAAACTTAAACATAAATATATCTTTCACGAAGAAATTATCCTTAATCTAGATTGAATAAAACGTTCATCGTAGTTGGAAGAATTTTTTACTAATTTCAAATTGAATGAATTTTTCTTCAAATTTGTAAACTGAATAAATTTTCTTCAGATTCCAAGTTAGAAGTTACTTTGCTTAAATTTCAAATTGGAATAACATTCAATTAATTAATACACTAACAAATACTAATTATATTGTGTATTGGTATACTCGTAGATCCCAACAATAACCGAATGGTTGCAACATGAATTTAAAAATCGGCCAAACATCCGAATAGGTGCAGATCCGAAGTTAGTACCTGCAGCTATATGGGAAGCTTGGGAAAGAGATTTAGGTATTACAAAACACAAGTTTTCCTCTAAATGATTTCAGTAAAAATACAAAATTCATCCCAAACTGATTCAAATAATTCTATGAATAATATTTCCTTGTATCTACAATTTATCTTGTTTTCGTATTTAGTAAATACATCCATAAATTTGGTGGCAGTCCGCAAAAATTTGGTGGACTTGATCTGGCAAGTGGGACGACCAAATTACAATTCTTACGCAGCATACCCATTGAAAAATGAATATGCAGGGAAATCATGGCAAGAAAAAATAAAAAATATAAGATTGGAGATGAGTCTTGTCGAGGCGGATGCTCTTGTAGTTACAGCATTAGATGAAATAGCTTGGCTCTTCAATATTCGAGGATACGATCTTCCTCATACTCCTGTTCTTAGATCTTACGTCATCGTAACACAAGGATCTCTTCATCTTTACGCATCCAAACATAAACTTTTACGATCCGTCGATACACATTTAAAAATGGATTCTTGCTTTCACGCGGATTGCGTCAAGTACGATGTTGTCTTATGTAAATATTGCAAATAATTATATAAACAATGAATCAAATATAAATAAATAAATGTCATTTTAGATGGCACAATGAAACGTGTATCTGGGATGATTTAAGGACAATGTCTCAAGCGTGGAAGAAAATTTGGCTACCAACACCATGTGGATATGCTCAAGGAGCTTCAAAAGAAATATATTCTTCCGTACGTTTTTTTTGTTTTCTAAAAATATTTTTAATATTAATAATTAAATACTAATAGAATAATGAAAATAGATAGAAAAAGCCTGAATTGTACTAAGAAAAAGATTTAGACTGGATAATACTAGTCAAAGGTACACCTCCTTCGACATGTTTTCCTGACACAAGAGAACTGCTTGAGCTTAGCTTGATCCCTACGTGACGGACTAACACACACCCCATAGATAAAACCTAAACGTGTAAATATGTTTAGTCTATCCACGTGGCAGGTAGTAATTATTATATAAAAAACAGCATATATATATAGTCAACTAAAAACTGACACGTAGATTTCGTGTATACACTTTGATGTACATTTGTATATTTGATAGAGTTCACACTTTCTCGATCTTATAATACCCGGAGTCACGAGACGCTTTGACGTTCATGGTATTAGGAATTACGTAGAGCATATCTATGTGTCCTATAGAGTATATCTATAGAGCATTGCTATATGTAATTATAGAGATTTTTTATAATTATTCTCGTAACTCTATAATTTTGTTTTTTCGAAAGTATTATAAAAATATACATATAAATTTATATAAATATATAATTTTGTCATTCAGATTCCAGCTGAGAAACGATTACCAAAAGCATCGCCTATAATTGATCTAAGAGCGATAAAAAATGAAATTGAAGCTGAAGGCATGAGAAAAGCTCATATCAGAGATGGCATGGCTATGTGCGATTTTCTTGCTTACATGGAAGAACAAATATCCTTAAATTCTGAGGGATGGGATGAGATGCAAGTGTCAAGAGTCGTAAATGAGTTTCGTTTGGAACAAGAATTTAACAAGGGTATTTCATTTGCAACGATTGCTGCTTACGGTGCTCATGCCGCGTTACCTCATTACGAACCAATTAATTTAACAAATATACCTATAGGGAAAACTTCGATGTTGGTTGTTGATTCAGGTGGACAGTATTTAGGTAAACTTCTATTATTATCTATCTTTATGTAATAATATATTTATAATGTAAATAAATTAATTTTTTTAATATACTTACAGATGGTACAACAGACGTAACAAGAACATTACATTTTGGAGAACCTACTGAAGAACAAAAAAAGGCGTACACAAGAGTATTAATAGGATCGATACAATTATCTTCTTTAATCTTTCCAGATGATCTGATGACTGATCAGATTGATGTATTAGCAAGGAGACCTCTTTGGAGTACCGGTAATGACTACATGCATGGCACTGGTCATGGAATTGGACACTTTTCATCCGTTCATGAATGTGTGTTAAATTTTTTAATATCTCATGTGGAAAATTTGCTAAACAATAATGTTTACTGAACGAATTTTCTTTTTTAGCTCCGATTAGTATATCATATACAGGTGGTATGTCTGTTACATTAAAGCCAGGATTTTTTTTATCCAATGAACCAGGATTTTACAAAAAGGGTGATTTCGGTGTACGTTTAGAAAATATACTTGAAGTCGTGACTACCAACATATCGGTAAGAATTTTTTATATTTTTCCATACATATTATTTTATTTTATTATATTATTCCATCGTTATTATTTTTTTTTTTTTTCAATAGAAAACAACAGGACAAACTTTCTTAAAATTTCGGGACGTCACTCTTGTACCATATGAACCTAAATTGATAGACTTTAATATGTTAACACCAATGCACGTAAGTTATTCTTTTTAAATGGCTTATATTTTCGAAAAATCTTTACATTTATTCTTCGGGTTAAGGCAATGATATTTCTAACAGTCCTGCTGTAGTGTCCTTTGATCAGTGATATACATACTTCTAATGATGTGCAGCGCCGGTGGTTAAATAATTACAATCAACGAATCAGAGAAGAGGTCGGCAGAGAATTAAAAAAACATTTAAGAATGAAAGGCTTTTATTGGATGATGGACAAGACAAAAGACATTCCTGAATGGGGTAAAGTCAACAAGGACATTCTTCTTGCACGTTCTCATTCCAATTCTTCTACATTCAAAGAGATTCATGTATTAGTGACCATTACGATTATCTACAATATTATTTTAAGTACGTAAATGTATCTTTTTAATAATCTTTATCATCTTTATTTAAAAATATTCTTAGATTATTACGTATCAATTGATACATAACTTTTTACGTTTCAGATTTTGCAACGATTTACAGTTAATACAAAGGTTTATTTATTGTTCTACTTAAAAAAAATCTTGAATATATATAAAATTATTAAATATAATATAAAACAAATAAAATATACATTCTATATTGGATTAGAAAAACAAATACTTTAATTTGTATCAATAATTGTAACATAACAATGTACACACATGATAGTACAATGATAATAGATATGTTTAGAAAAAAGAAATGGAGACCTATATATTGTGTGTTCCATATGTAAAGTACAAGTACAATTGGACTGACTTTAATAAGAATTTTAATCAGTCTATAAAAATCTATGTGATTAGCTAAACTATTTATTGAGAACTATATTTAAGTATTATTATAATTTTACTGTGATACATAATTGCAATAAATATATGAATATGTAAAATATATACATTTCATTTCTGCACCTATATTTCATAAAAAATAATTTATATTTACCTTCGATATCCTGTAAAAGATTTATGTGTCTTATAACTCCATTTTGAATACGAAATGTTTGAATTTTCGAATTTGAATGTTTGCTAAAAATCCAAATATGATGTATACTTAATGTTATATAACTCTTATTATAATTAAAACTAATTATATATAATCACACGCATTACCTATCATTTTTATAAATCACATAAAATGTACATTTCAATATAATTAATTTTATTAACTAATATACACTTCAGTAATTAATTCTATCTTTTCTTATTTGTTTAATTTTTTATTTATGTTATCAGCTATTTCTTGTAGTTTTTTTATTTCCGCCTGTTCTTTTTCATAATCCTTTTTCAATTGCATAAATTCCTTTGTAAATAGTTTTATTTCATCAAGAGAAAATTTGAATTTCTTATCAACCTTTTGTTTAGGTAATACTAATTGATACAACTTGTAATAATCCAATAATTTTTCTATAAAATATAAAAATGTAATATCGATGGAAAGTATGATATAATGAATTTAGAATTTTCTATTTATAGTAAAAACTTTGTCTTACCTATTGTTTCTTCGTCTAATTTATATTTCGTAGCTAAAATATTACTACTATTTTTAACAGAATCTTCTTTATGCTCAATAATAATTTGGAATATGTCTTTCAGAGTTAGTTTTCCTACTGGGACAGAGTCTGGCATATAAAATCCAAATTCAAAATCTTCAGAGGTTCTCGATGTAGGTAATGGTCTATCAGGATTTGGTTGATCCAATGTATTCATCTAGATAATTTCCAATAGTTATTTGCATTAAATGTTTAATGTTAGAATATTTCATAATTAATAGTTATACCTTTGTTTCCGTAGATGTTACATAAACATTTTTTAACTGTTCATCAAATTTGAAATCCTTTTCGTAATGTTTCTTCAAGAAATGTGGATTTACTAAAAAATAAAATGAATTTCTTTGAATTGCAGAATGAATAACAATGTATCAAACCTAAATAGTACCAAATATATATAATTGTTTACAATTAACCTACATTCTTGAGCTACTTTCAATTGCTTTATTGTAGCAGCATATTTAGGAGCAGGAATTATTTTACTACTTGAAATAACATTATTTGCACGATTTTCTATATTAAATCTATGCATTGATTGTTTTATTTTACCAACCAATCCACCCATCTTTTCGCATCTAAAATCTATTGAGGAAAGAAAAGGTGACAATAATAGAAAATGTTAAATAAGAAAAAAAAATATATTAAGAAATATATTTTCTTTTCTACAATATAGATGAAGAAATATATATTACATTTTGACCAAAATAACAATCAGTTACAGTTAAAAACGATCTCGCAAATAAACTCGTAACTATCACATATTATTCCAAACTTTTCATTCAATCCACCAAGCGGCTTTAACACATATTCTACAATCGAATAATAGATGATATAATCAATGATTTAAAATTTATAAAAACAAATATTCAACGTTATTTTATCAATTCTATTAACCAATAATATCTATTAAGTTAAAAATATTTATTAATATACATATTTTTGATTGGCCAATATTTATTAAGCGACTAACTGATACATGCATTCTATTAGTCAGCACGAAAACTACTCATAAATCTTTGACCAATCGTCGTCTATCTATATGGGAGCAACGTAAGGTGTGTTTAGGTACGCAGTAACGCAAGAAAAGACAGTTTCTGAGCGCGCTGTGAAATTATTCGGTTGTGAATGATTGTGAGGACGCGGCGGTTAGCAACGTACCGTATGTGTCGAAGTCCCGTTAGTTGTCTTTATCAAAGTTATTGTTTTCTTAAAACATGCTCGAGTGTTGTACAACCTGACAATAAAACGGCGTAAGAAAAGTTTTTAAAAAAGAATAAACAGTGAAGAAGGTATTCACTCTTTTCGTGTTGTACGCTTAACCGCCAAAAATTATAGATAGAAACGCCATCTTGTGTGCAGATATGTTGACATTTTAACATCGTTCAAGTTTACTGATCACTTTCTTTACAATATTATGCATTAATTGATACATATTTTATAACAGAAAATGATAAATCTATATATGATATTATATCTGTGTGTGAATATGTGATATTGTTTCGTTGATAACAATTAATGTTATTTAATCAACAAATGCAGTATTGTACTGTTTTCATTGACTGCACAGCAACAAGATGACACGTTTTGCTACACTTGTTTAGATATTTTAAAACATCCAATTCTTAGAAATAATGGTGATGTTATTGAAATTCATTTTAGGTTAATATAAGGATATAATCATGTTTTACGCACACTTTGTGTTAGCCAAAAAAGGGCCATTGGCCCGAATTTGGCTAGCTGCTCATTGGGATAAAAAGTTAACAAAAGCTCATGTTTTTGAAACCAATATTGAAAAATCTGTAGATGGTATTTTACAACCTAAGGTATTCCTTTCTGCATTATGTTTATGATACAAATAAATATTAATGTTAAGATATTAAACAATAACAAGTATATAGTAAATTCATTTTTTAATTATAATAATATCTTTCCATATATCATAGGTGAAAATGGCGTTACGTACATCAGGTCATTTACTCTTAGGAGTAGTACGCATATATTCCCGCAAAGCAAAATATTTACTAGCTGATTGTAATGAAGCGTTTGTTAAAATCAAAATGGCATTTCGCCCAGGAATGGTTGATTTACCTGAAGAACATAGAGAAGCAGCAGTTACAGCTATAACGTTACCAGAAGTATTTCATGATTTTGATACAGCTATGCCTGAATTGAAGTAAATATTAATATCACACAAGTGAATATTAATGCATATGAATTTGTACATCGTTTGCGTTATTGTATTTTTTAGGGATGTTGATATTGAGGCACAATTTAGTTTAAATCAGTCCAGAGCAGAAGAAATTACAATGAGAGAAGATTATGGTAGTCTTTCTTTAGTAACACATGATCAAGGATTTGGTGATATGAGTTTTGATGCAGAACCACCTGAATTACTTCGCCACGCTGGTTCTATAGAACCATCATTAGATCAGGTTTACTATTCATTTTTATAATATTAATAATAATAATAATAATAATAATAATAATTTAATATATTACTTTAAAGAAATTTCTGTTCTTCTATATAATGGATTAAATTAAATCAAATCTAGAGCCATATGCTATTCAGTGATGGTCCAGGTATAGAAACAACGCTGGAACAAAAAGAGAAAGAACCAGTTGCAGGAACATCAGCAGCTCCACAGGCTATGGATATAGACACACCTATTAGAGATGACGGTTTTGGTGGTCATCTTGGTCAAGATATTATATGTATGCATTTTAATTTTTCATGAAACAAATTATTACCACGATTATCGAATAAAATATTATTTTTAGCTGGAGGCCTCTTTGAAGGAGGATTATTCGATGAAGCTCCAATGGGTGAAGTTCCTGTACCTGAAGTTAGTTCAATCGCAGAACAACAAGAAACTGCTGCAGCACCAGGAGCTGCTGTTTCTGTTCATGATGAATCTGAGGAAGATATGGGTGATCATTTTGGACCAGCTGCATCTCCAATGGGAGCAATGAGGTACTTATTTATTATAATATATTCAGTGTTTTGAATACGTGAAATAATAAATTTTTTTCCCTTTTTTTTCTTTTTTTTTTTTCTTTTTTTTTTTCTTTTTTTTTTTTTTCTTTTTTTCTTTTTTTTTAGTTCTGACGGTTCAAGGCCTGCTAGCCCAGCAGTAACAGGTGAAGAAATAGAAGGAAGAATTAGTGTTGCTAGTCGACGTTTTACGCCTGCTCCTCCAACTGCTCCTGAAGAACATCCAATGGATATAGCAGAAGAACCACAACCTATGCAAGATCAAACTACATTGTTACATGATGAAGAAGAAAGCTTTGCTCTTGCACCCGTAGATGCATCAGCACTTAAAGGTTAAAGATAATAAATTAAATCATTTATAAAATTATCAAAATTTTATATTAGATATACTCATTGTTATACTTTACTGTAGGTTTTACAAAAGCTAAAAGAAAACGTAAACTCATCGTGGACGAAGTAAAAAATATTTCTGGGGAAGAAATGAAAGCACAACTCTCTGATACTAGTGACATCGTAACGACATTAGATTTGGCACCACCAACAAAACGTTTGATGCATTGGAAAGAAACAGGTGGAGTGGAAAAACTTTTTGCTTTACCAGGAAGGCCAATACCAGCTCGTGCATTGTTTAAAGTAAAATAATCAAAAATTATAAAATGAGTCTTTAATAATGTATATGTCATTATATATACGCAAAATATTTTTATTATCTAGAATTACCAACGACATTTAACGAGCAAATCTTACGATCATGAAGACTTTGGACGATTAGGAGTAGAAGAAGAAGGATTATCTTTAGAACAAATGAGGGATAACACCGAAGCAGATGCAGCTGCCTTTGAACAAAGTATTCTTAATAAAAGGATGGCTCGCAAACGAAAAGCTCCACAAGAAGAAGAGGTTTGTTTCAACTTATATTATTTTATCATCTCTATTTGTTTTAATTTATCTTTTATTATTTTTTCTATAGCCAAGACCAGCACCTCCACCACCAATGCCTGCAGTAGAAGTTAGTCAACCTTCAATTACCACTGAAGCAGTAGAAGTTCCAAGCATAGTTCCTCCAACTGTTCCAACAGCTGAATCTCCAGTTCCTCCTGAAGTAACATTGCCAGCAGAACCATCCGTACCAGAAATTAGTGGTATTGCGCCTTCAGTTGAAACTACAGAAGTTCCTGTAACTCAACCAGAAACACCCTCATTGGGTTTAGAAATACCTCAAATACCTCCAGCTGAAGTTAGCTCCATTCTTGGAGCAGCTGAAGAAGAAGCAGTACCACCTACACCTACACCTCCTACTGAAGTCCCTGCTATACCACCTACTACAATGCCACAGATGGAGAATATCGGTTATGATCAGGTATAATATATCTCAAAGTTGTTAATTTTAATTATTTCAGTCATACAAGAAAAAAATAATATTATTATGTATATATAGGCTCAACCACAAGTATCATATGTTGGCTATGATGAACAGCATCCACCTGCACACACACCCGGTGCTATTTCTGAAAGAGGACCAGCTACACCATGGAATCATGAAGATTATGAATTTCCTCCTTCGGTGGGACCAGTGAGTATTTTATATTTTATATTTTATTTTTATATTTTATAAAGAATTCCATTAATTATATTTTATATATTGGCATATGTAGCAAGAGGAACAACAAGTGGATGAAACCTATGAACAGTTTGAAGAACGTGTGCTTAATAAAAGAGCAGCACATATGTATCATGTCATTAAAAGTAAACTGGATACCAAAGACAGATTATCACTATCAGAAATGGCATATAAAAATAATCGTAAACAGGTATGTCCAATTTAATGTTTATTTTTATTTTTGTAAAAGGCTTTTTATAATGTTACATTACCATCTTTTTACAGGCTGCACAAAAATTCTATACCCTCTTAGTATTGAAAAAGTTTCAAGTGTTAGAATTGAATCAAGAGTATCCCTATGCCGAAATCATAGTTACTAAAGGACCAAAATTCGAAAATCCTGCATTATAAAAGTATTATGTACTTTTAATTAATGTCATAACACATCTTGTCTGCAAACACTTCTGGTGAATGGACAAGGATATAGCATCTCAAACTATAAAAGAGATGTAAAAGTATATTGTCTACAATTTTGTGTAGATAAACTGTAAAAAGTGTATGCAAATATCTAGCATGTTGTCAAGATTCTGTAATATCCTGGGAGAACTTGAAGAGTGTAAATGTTCGACAAATCATGTTTTAACTTTGTAAATAACCGAAGAAATTAGCAAACGAGTTTAAATACGTCTATTGCGTATAGCTTTTATAAAGGGCTGTCAACTGAACGAACTCAATTATTTTGTGTGATATAAATCATTGGATAATAGAAACAAATCCTTGAATTACAGCATATAATAAATTCAATTAAAATGTTAATTAAATATGCCTTATAAAAAGGTAAAGCGTTCATGGAACTTGGATCACCACTTATGACAATCAATTGTGCCAATAAGTATTAAAATTGTTTTCTTTTAATTGAAAAACTTTATTGAAAATTTAATGACACAGTTGATAAAGAGAATTAAAATAAGACGGAGATCCAAGTTCATATTCTAAATAAAATCAATTACATTATACATAATTTCTTATCGGCATTTCTTCGTTTTTTACAAATAATAGAATGATTCAAAGTTCCAGGAAATGATGCAGAAAGAAGGCAAAATGTGGTAAAGCTAATAACTTTTTGCAGTATTTGCAGATTTTCGCTTATCATAACATTTTCTTTTTATGAATGTTTGATACTCAAAAAAAATCAAGAAAAATATTTTTGTTTATAATACTTACATTTTAAACAGTAACGTGAATAGATACCAACAAAAAATAAAGTTAAAAAGT